ATATAACGATACACATGCACTTTGCATATGCCACTGATATGCAACAGACAGACAGACAGTAAACAAATACACGCAGTCAAGGGACGTGGGCGACGGGGGCGGCGGCTGCAGATGATGCAAGGGCAACATCATCTTCATTTGAGTGGCAATAATAACTTGCTTTTATACCCTGTACACATGAAAAAGGAAAAACTAGCTGACAAACAGTAAATCTATTGCTACTTTGGAAATACAAAAGAAGGACATTCCTCAACCATATCAACAGCAGAGTGGATCTCATCAAATACCATCAAATAAATGGACTTAGAACAAAAATATGTACATTATAGGCGAACAGCGGCATTTCAAATATTTTGACGGTAAAAATGTCAATAATAAAATAAATATAAATTTCAGTTGAAAAAAAAATATATTTATATGTAATTGCGAATCTTTCGTTAGAGGCATTTGATCGTTTTGAAAGTCGATATTATTTAACAGGGCCTTTTCGATAAATTTAAACATAATTTTGATTGTGAAAAAAACGTCAGCGCTACAAACGGAAGAGCGCATCATGCATAACCTTTTAAGCATATATGTATATAAAATGTCGTTACGACAGATACATACATCTTCCCACTGGGTACCTACTAGCTGTTCACCCTTGCCTAGAGCTAACTATTATTTTATTTGCTTTATTTTACCCTTGCAAATTTCAAAAGGGATGCATATTCTTGATCAGGATCAACAGCTGGATCGCTGTACCAATCTCCATCTGGCTGTTTCAATGCGTAATAGCCTCTCAGTTTCTAAGCCGTCGTCATGAAACTTTGCATGTCCGTTTTTTGTTCCAGCCAGTACATATGTCGGAACCGCCGCATCGGACCACCATATTATTTGATGGCACAGGAATGAACGGTCGAAAATCAAGCGTCTGTGTGACCAAAAACGGCTTTTAATAGTTTACCTATGTTCCTTACATAGAAGCCAAATGTTGTCAAGAGCTCTTTTGGTAAAATTAACCGAAAACTGAGTTTTACTGTAATATTACTATCTTCCTCATACTAGCAAATCCATAAGCTATTTTACTACAAGGGTATTAAATCTTCGGCGTGCTAAAGATAGCCGTTGTATCTTGTTTTTTGTTGTGTCCAACTGACCGCAAGTGGAAAAACGCTGACTTTGCCGGCGCTGCTCAAACAAAAGCAAGTAATAAATATGGGAAATAATATGGAAGCGCTTTTTATATGCTTCGCACATGGAATTGTTTAAATAATTTATAAACGCTGCAAAATGAAATCAGACATCTGCTGGTGCTGCTGCTGCTGCTGCGGTTGCCCTGGCAGGCAAAACAATCCTTTCAAAACACAAAATTCAAGTCATTGTTTTGACCGAAGTCCGGGGTCAAGAGTTGTGTACATAATGGTCAGCACGTACTACAACTGAATGAGTAAGTGTAACTGTAACTGTAAGCATAACTCTAACTGGGCTGCCAGTCATACTTCCATAACCTGCTCTTCTCCCGCACCGCGCCTTCGGTTGCTTGCCTTTGTGCCAACACATTTTAATTATTAGCATACGTTCAGGCGCAATGGCAGCAACGCCGTCTGAATTTTATGAGCTTTGCAAACTTGGTTCCAAATTGCGTATGCGTAACGCGTGCGCTTTTGTCTCTAATTGAAAAAATATCAAGCATACGCAAGGCTGTTTTGACGAACCCTTGGTCAACTCCAGGACTTATGTATTTGAGCAGCAGCTGTTACAAAAAGGTAGCTGGGGGTTACTTTTAAGCTCTACACAAAGCTGTAAATATTTATAGGTTTTTAATAAGAGCTTAGCCAACTTCTTGTTTATTAATTTAACTATATGTCGAACTGATTTAACTCCGCCTCAAGTAGTAACCATAGAAAACTTAGAGACAGGCACTTAGACTTTTGCATGGTTCAGTAAGGCGAGGGAGGCGAATGCAGGCGATCTGCTATTAGAAAAGTTTACCGTTTAATTAGACAGCTGACTTGTTGGCAGTCGCTCAAGTAAGTAATTCAGACTTGCCAACAATGCTCTTAATGTTCCATGGAAAACTACAAAGTAAGCTTGTTAATTAAATACGCATTACCGCGCCTCTAATTGCCAGCGATGTGCTGCTTAGCAACAGCAACAACAACAACATACAGCAGCAGTACACAACAGCAATATACAACAACAACATACAAAGTCGACTGCAAAGTTTTGCTGGCGTGCATGTTTTAGTCAATAAAATATGGCACAAAATACGCAAACATTAAATTTAATTATCAGCTGACACTTTGACCTCTGACTAAATGACTAACTGACAGACAAACTGACAGTAAGTTTAGCCAGAGACAGATATGAGATAATTTCGAATGCAATGGATCCATAGTTAATGACAAATGTCTCCGAGTTAAATCACATTTAATTAGTAAACATTTCAGTGGCACTGAAGAAAGCATGTGCACCAGTGCAGCGTGGCATGCCACAAGCTAATTCTGCGGCACAAATCATCAATCACTGCGGCAGCAATGCTTAACTTGGCCAACTGCTTGGCGAATGCATCAGGCTGCGCACAAAAAAGTTTAATGGCTTCAAAAATCAACTTGGTCGTCGGTTGCCGCCATTTGAAGTTGCATTGTTTGTTTTTGTTGCCGATGCTTTTGTTGTAGTTGTTGCAGCTTGCTGTTTTTGCTTTGTTTGCTAGCTGAATAACGGCGACAGCGTCTGGCTAAAATATGCGCACGCCGCAGGTAAATGTTGGTAATTTGTGACTTCCAATGGCTTCGTTCTTTTCCACTGCAAAATTTTAGCTTGACGGCGCCCATTTAACGCACGGCGACATTTTCCCAGCTCTGTCGGGGGGAGTTTATGTTAAAATCGTGTGGCAATATGCAGTTGCATGTCTAATGCCACGAGCAGCTACACATTTTAGCACAGGAACACGGAAATAAAGATAAGTTTTGCGGTGTGATTAAAAGTGGACATTAGTTATCAAAGGGTTAATGGTTTAAAGTGTGCCCAGGAGCTTGATAAAAATAATTGTCATTTTTATAATAAATTTGTATGGTAAACATGCCTGTTTTTGTGATCAAACAATATTTTTCGTTTTTAAAAAAATTTCTGTTTCTAGGCAAGCAGACAATAAATATGCCTACAAGACCATATACTCTACTTATATGAATACAAACTCAGTACAAATGTTGTAAATGTTAACAGAACACATAAGTTAAAAAATATTAAACTTTTATAGCCTCCCATATCATAGATTTCTAACTCCCAATTTAGTTGACTTGGGAACATTTAAAGTCAACAAAGAAGTTTGCCACCTTTATTTACACTCTTCGCAGCTCTTAAACTTTCACACTTAAATCATATTTGCGCTTATTGTTTTACCTCCTGCTACTACTACTATTTTTGTTGCTGTTGTTGTTACCCTTGTTGCACGTTGGTGGGATCCCAGTCTGGCTTGAAGCTGGCCGGCGCAGAGTTGCGCTCTTATTTACCCCTTTGGCGCTTGGCTTGGCTTATTCAAGTGTGGCTTTTTCATGTGCACACTGCGGAGTCACTTTGACCTGCATGTTATTCATGGCTAAATACACACACGCACACATGGCAGCTAGCCCTGCCCCAGCGCACCACCGTGAACAAAATACCAACAGCCAAGCTGGTAATTCTCTAAACTATAGCGCGCTGCACACATAGTAAAACGAAGGCGTTGGCCTGGACATGGACATGGGCAAGGGATTTCTACGCTCTAAGCTGTGCTAAACATTCCCTAAATATATTTTGCAACAGCTCCTCCACTCCACATACGAGATAAGCGGCACACATGCCATGGCCAGGACGGCAAGGACACGCGGCGATGCGAAAGGCACTGTTCACTGCAATGAAACTTTTTGCACCTGAATATTTTTCCAAAACTATTCACAGTTGATTTTTCACCTGATGCTTTTCATGGACCACAGTGTGTTCTCTGTGTGTGTGTGTGTGTCTGCTGGTGTGCCTATGCCTCTTACGCGCCTGTGTGTGTGTGTGTAGGTAAGTGCTTAAAATATTTGTCTGCCTGGCTGCTTGTGAAGCTGTGGCATGCCTGGCAGCCTGTCCAACTGTCTGGCCTCCAAACGAACGGCTCGCTTTATAGGACTCAAGTTAAATGCAATGCCGCTGCCTCGGCCGGGCCATGTGGATTGGCTCGGTGCCCCATTAGGTGCAGCCAATTGAATTGGGCGCCAATCCTTTAATGGGTCTATGCCATTTTTTTCTTTTGAGTGTTTTGTGATTGAGGTATCTCTGAAAGTCGTTTGATTGTCGATCAGTCTGCTACCATTTTTTAAAATAGATTCAAGGTAAGAGTACTTTATAATAGCGTATTAATTTTTGAACATTATTTCAAAGATTTTCGATATGAAGCCTATGGCTTATAAATTAAGAAAGATCAACGTGAACCGCTGCTATCTTACTCCGTTTCAGAGAATTTATTGCAATTTTATAATAATCAGTGTTTTCGCTGCTGTATTCATAGTTCATTCATAGAAGCCGAATAGTTTTGGGCCCATTTACAGCCTGAACAGCTCCTGACTAAATCTCATACATACATATATGAAAGCATACATACCAGCGAGTGTGCAGCCTTATCTATATGCATTTTATTATATAATCTTTCCCGCTCACTCCACCCCACACTTCTCCTTCACTCTTGCAGCTATGGTCTCCTGGGCGCGTCTGGCTGTGGCAAGACAACACTGCTCAGTTGCATCGTTGGACGACGGCGTCTCAATTCGGGCGAAATTTGGGTGCTGGGCGGACGGCCGGGTTCACCCGGATCCGGTGTACCCGGTCCGCGAATTGGCTACATGCCACAGGTGAGTCGAACTCCATGTGCCGTGCAGCTGCCTAAATATTTCATGCGCTTTTTATTGCCCTGCCGCAGTTGGCTTCATGGCTCGTAACTAAATTAAATAAATGCAATAAAACGTTAAAAGCCAGAGTAAGAGAAAAAATGCAGCAAATAAAAAAACTTTTAACTGCTGCACAGTACAGAACTTTTAATTTCGACAAAGCGCAGTAATATTTTTAGTCCCCGGGGCTCATAAAGCTGCAGCGCCGTGAAGTAGGCAACGGTATTTGCATTCGTTCGCTCTCGCTATATAATACGCTTTTAATTCCCATTTCGCAGGAGACAGCTCTTTACGGGGAGTTCACAATGCGTGAGACTTTAATCTACTTTGGACTTATTGCCGCCATGCCCCGCAGCGACATAGAGGATCGTACCGAATTTCTGCTCAAATTGCTCAATTTGCCAAATGGCTCGAAATTTGTCAAGAATTTGAGCGGTGGACAGCAGCGTCGCATGAGCCTGGCTGTCTCTCTGCTCCATGAACCGGAGCTACTCATACTGGATGAGCCGACAGTGGGCGTGGATCCGGTGCTTCGACAGAGGTGCGTATACAATATACAATAAATTGTGCCTCGAGGCTGGCTCAAAATGTGGATATTTAAAGAACCAGCCCGCAGAATTTCCCTAGGAAAAACCTTATTTTATTTTAATGTCTCAAATAATATGATTATAACAACAAACTTTTGTGAATGTGGACTTAATCCAATTAATTATAATTTCGTTTTGTTCTATAATATTAAAAATGAATGAATTTACTTGTATATAATCCAAATTATGCTCTCCACTTGACGTCATCATATGAGTAACAATTAGAGTGAACATTATAAAAGCGATATATTAAAAGATATTTCCACATATTAAGTTTATTGTGAGAATCGTGAAACTGACAGTAAAAGCAAGTCAAAAGGAAGAAAATGAAATGCAATTAAAAATTTCGAGCTGAAAGGAAAAACGGATATCTCAGCGCTTCACAAGCGAAAATTTCAGCTTTTGTTTTACCACAAGTGCTTAATGAGTTTGTCGAAAAGAGTTTTCGCCATTTCGGGAGAATTCCGCATTCAAGCAGAAAATTCGGTAGAAGCCAATCTTTAAGCTCAGAAGCAGGTTCAATATGTAAAATAAGTGACGGAAAAATCCCAACTGCAAAATAATTTTTTATAAGGAAAAATTAAATGATATTAGGATGGTTTACATTCCCTATTATTTTTCTCTACCGGGCAACCAAAAAAAAATTATGAAGTTGAATCCGTTATTTTAAAATTGCTTTTATATTTAAATTAGCTAGTTAGAATCAAACCGATTCCTGCAACTGTTACATGCTTTTGAGATTCCCCTTTTGAGGGTATTAAGTAGATAATATGTAACTGAATATATCAAATAGATGGCTTCTAATTAACTCTTTTCACATTTACAGCATTTGGGATCATTTGGTGGACATCACGAAAAATGGCAACACAACTGTGATAATCACCACGCATTACATCGACGAGTGTGCCCAGGCGCATGTGGTAAGTTCACATTCGACACATATTTAGAGGGGTGTGTGGCGGATAAAGAGCTGTGGCTGCCAGCAAGTGTCAACGGCTTTCTGGCGCCCACGCATTGTTTGCTAGCTTGATTAATAGTCGGTGCTTGCACGTCTATTTGTAATATGCGGCGTATGGGCAATATTATGCGCTTCAGATGGTTCGGGCTGGCAAAGGTGAGAGTTCAGCTGTCGAGGGAGTCTCTGCACAGCGGCGGCGCTTATCAGCTCAAGCTCGAGTGTGCGCTGTCAACACGCGGCGCTAAGTGCTTCCTTCTGTTAGGGCATGAATGTGCCGATGGAGCGGGACATGTAGGACTGGTCGCTGGCAAATTTGTATCCTGCGCGGGCTGCAACAAATCTGTGTCCTCTCTCTCTCGAAAAGTATAATTTTACTGGCTGTCCCTCTGTTGACCCATGGCCATGGCACGATTTACGAGGCATTTCCGAGCGAGACACATTGCAAAATTTACTTCAGATTTATTTATGTTGGCAATGCGAAGCACCATAATCAGCCAATGCGGGAATACACTCTGTGTGTGTGTGTGTGTGTGTGTGTTTGTGTACGTGAGTGAGCGTGTGTGTACTTGTATTAGTCATTTGCTGCCCCCTGCCAATGTGTGTGGCAGACAATGAACTGTACGAGCGACTGACAGTTACAGCAAAAATATGAAAAACAAGAAAAATAAATAAAGAGAGAAAAAATGCTTGGAAAATACAGAAATAAAGCGTGACAAAACGCACAAAGCAAACGCCCGTCACAATGGACACTTAGATAGACAGATATATAGATAGACCAACAGATACCCATGCGACACGCACAGGATATGCACACACATAGAGACACAAGCACACGCACACGCACGCATATATAAAACAAACAAGTCCTTGCACACAGAAACGCACTTATGCTGGTCAGGTCCGAGTGGAAGCTAAGCTAAAGCCAAGTCTGTAGATATATCAGTGGCAAGACCCAAAGATTGATGCTAAAGAAACGACCTTAAAGAGTTGACGATAGTTGGGGTGGAGAAAACAGACAAACAAAACGACACGTGTGTACTCTATGCTGGGCATATGAAATCGAATGATTGATGGCCAAGCGATTTATAATATTGCAAAACACGGATTTATTTAGGTCCTTATCAACACTTAATTGCGGAGAACATCTCTACAGACGAGGGCATTGATTTGATTTCCGACTACATTTTATGGGGTTTCGGTGGCTTTTTGATTCGATTTTTGGAATGCTGAATGAAACTGCATAAATTGTAAATTTCTTAGTTTAAATTGTACATTTCCACAAGATGGAAAAATTACTGCTTATATGAATTCGCTTTAAGTTTATCCAAGTAAATTATGTATGTAGTCTTCCCTTTCATATTTTATTATCTTATCGAAAGAAACAAATAGCTGATTAAACAAATCGAATTACTCAACAAGTTGAAAAGACGTGCTAACTATTACAGCTAACGTTAAATACATTCAACATTTAAGCTGTTCATGCTTCATGCGTTTATTTACTTTAAGTAAATGGCCTTAAAAATCGATGCAAGGTTTTGAATTTTATATATCTAATACAAAGGCTTACCTTAAAGGATATATATTGAGGAATTGAATTTAAATAAATTCCCAGAAAAATCATATTAAATTATGTTAAGCGGCTTATTTGATATATATTTGAGTATTTGTTTCAGAGAGTGCTCTTGAGCTCGTTAGCCAACTGCTTTACGGGACCTGCCACACACGCGACAATTGAACCCCCTCTGTTGCCTGCTGGCAACAGCTGTTAGACGCTTGTCGAAACGACAACAATACCCTCGCTGTGTGTCACTGCGGTAAAGAGTTATGGCCAATAAACAAAATCATTGTGCGACTTTGTTTGCCACAAAACGTGCTGGCAACCTGAAGCCCAGTCCCTAAAATAGGGCCCAAGGCTTACGGTTTAGTTAATCTAACCGCAACGCTTCGCCCATTGAAATGTGTCTTTAATGGCAATTGTTGTTGGGATCTTAAAAAGAGAAAGAAAAAGAAAAATAAATACAAACTGCCTATGGTGGCAAGAAACTTTGGCCCGACTTTTGTCTGTCTGGTAACTTTGGTGACAATGTTTAATTGCTCATATTGAACACGTGTTGTCTCTTCTTCTCACAACAACTACAACAACAACAACAAAGGCGGCAATAGCATAGCATAGCACGGAGTCCGCCTAGATTGTGCACGCTTGAGTTGACTACTCGTATTATGGCCGGCAGCAAATTGCTTTTTCAGCTTTGTCACTTTTTCGTGCCACGTTTTTGCTTTGCCGCAGGTTGCGCAATGCTCAACGTTGGAGCCCAGCTCGAAGGAGTCATCCTGCAGTATCACATATTTTTCGCCAATTCTGCACGTCACTTGGAGTTCAGCTGTCGTGCGACTTACTTGTCTAACTGCCCAGTGGAATTTGGTCAGTTTGTGTTTTTTTCTTTCGGCTTTCTTGTTTTTTTGTCCTTTTATTGTTGACTCAGCAGAATTGCGTGAGGGCAACACAAGAGCGTATGCATGCACACTAAAACACTTGTGTGGGTATTTGAACGGTCCGCACACTCTCACTGCTGCTAACCCACACACACAAGCCCAGGCACACACATAGCCTTACTAGACTGAGCTCCTGTTCGTGCTGATTGAGTGAGAAATATTTATTGACACTTACCTAGGCACGAGGTCTGGTCCGCCCCATTCTTTTTCCGATTTCATGTGCACTGCATTCGCCAATTTGGCATTTAAAATTTATTATTATTGCATGTCGTGCATTTTATTGGCTGTAAATGCATTGCCCCAACAAATTTATGTGCAATTGCCGCTCGCTAAATTTATGAAAAATAATTTGAACTTCGATTTGCTGTAAAACTTTAAGCGAAATCATTAAAATTTGTGTTGTATCAAATTTAAAGCTTAGCTATTAACATTGGCTGTTAGATAAAAGTAATAAAAATTTTGTTTATAAAATATTTATGAGGCATACGAAATGGCTGCCAGATCGCTTTTTTACAGTGCCTACTGAATACCCTTTCATTGGCACTGAAAGTAAAAATACTCTTGAAATGTTGGTTGTATTAATTCATGAAACTTGCAAATAGAGAAATTTATATGACAACACAACAAAAAATACTGTAGCATGAACATTTCTTCTTGGATGGAATCCATGTGAATCAAGTTAACTTTATAGAGTTATTAAAAATCGCATAATTACTTGTTTATAATACGCCATTATACCGTACCTTCATGTGCACTCTGTTATATCACAGTAAACACTTTTGGCCAAGTCGAAAAGGTAATATTGACAAAAAATATAATTGGCTTACGCTGCGTAAAATATATTTATATCTACTGTTGTATGTAGAACATTTCCGTTTGACTGTTTCACTTGCAGCAATAATAATACGGCGACTGCAATGTTGCATTAAATTGTCAATCAATATGATCGAAATAATTACACACCCTCTCATATACACACACGCGTGGACAAGCAAACCGTTTGGCAGGTTAATTTTTTTTTTGTAATTTCTCAACATCAGCAATTATTCAACTGTCCATTTGCATTTTTGTCCTGGCTTCAAAAAACAATTCCATATTTTTCTTGTTATACATATATTTTTTTACTGCTTTTTAAAAGCAACATGCGGAAAATTACGCCACAAAAGGGATATGCAACACAGAAGAGACAGCATAAACTATTAAAGATACAAGGCAAAAAAATATAACAAGCAAAAATTCAGAAACAGAGCTAAAGCGCCAACTGAATCAGCTCTGACTGTCGCTGCAGGGGTGCAGAGAAGGGATGCGACGGGGGGTCGTGAAGTAGTCGCAACAATATATCCATCAAATAATGTTACGCTCCCTGATTTCATTTATTAGAGCAGAAAGTGCTGCACATACAACTGGGTAATGGCAATGGGCCACCGCCGTCCCTTCCACCTATCAACTGCGCCGACTATGCGGCGTAGACGCGATTTCCTACTACTCTCGCTTTTTGTGTTGGCCAACAAATTCCCATGAGCCAAGCCAACGTTGACATTAAATTTTGGAAGCAACGTCTGTAAAAAAGTTAACGAAAAAAAAATAAGAATCCACAAGGAAGAGGGGCAAAAAGAAACGCATCACTTTGGCAGACAGCGGAACGCAGCCAGTGTTGCCACCTCTGTACAATTTCAGTTGCAAGCCATTTAGGCTTGGGTGGGGTGTTAGATTGGGTCTGGTTAATAATGACGCAAATTGCAGGCGTTGATGTTCTGCTATAATATGGTGCCAGCCTTTGATGAGGGTCTTTCGCCAGATATGTATGTATGTTACGAACGTGTGTCCATATCCGGCGGCGCTGGGAGCAGGAAGT